TGTTACTTAAAGAGGGTAATGACTAGACCACTATACTAAGTCACCACACCTTACAAAATAGTACTGATCTTATTTGGATTAATAATTAATAAAATATTATAAATAATGTTTTTTGACTTTATTAAAACAATATCAGTATAAAAAAAGATAGTCAAAAAGCTAATTAAAATATAGAAGCCTTTGAAAAACTAATAATATTAATACTATACTAAAAGAATATTAAACAATAAGTGAGACCCTGGATATCTCTAATATATATCATACTTTTTTTAGCAAATTGCAAAAAAAAATTGGTTAAAAGTTCAAATTTAAGTTTTAGCAAATTAATATTAATTTTAAAATAAGTTATACAAAATTAGTTTATAAGTCTTACTAATATGAGTTATGACTTATTGTTTTAAATTTCTACTATATATTTTGTTATATTTATTTATTTCAAATTTGAATATTATAAACAATGTTTACTGTTAGATAGCCCACATCTAACAAGAGAATGCAATTTAGCACAACAGCAAAAGCTATTATAGATAAGTTCAAAAAATTATATCTGATTTTATTTTATCTATTATAAACTTTACAATTTAATAGAAGAGGAAAAACTAATTAAAGAAAACATATTCTTTAAGTATGTATACTAAAACCTACATCATTTCTCAAATTCTTCTATTTGAATTAAATTTTTTGGATGTTCTATAAAATAGGTGGGCAAACTTTGCAAACTCTGCAACTTTGCTAAATATTTATTAATAATTACTAATTGTTAACAGAATTTATTTTTTATATTGCTCACCTATTCTATAGAATATCTGATTTTTTAGTAGTTTATACTATAAGTAAAAAGGTATGAATTGTGATCTGTCATGTTAATAAGTACATAAATTAGTTAATTGCATGGTGTAGTTATGCTAAAACCAGGAATTAAAATCCAATATTTTTTAAAGAATATTTAAGGAATATAAAAAACTTGTTCTTTCTAATAGTGAGAATTAATGTATTAAATTTATAAATAAACTGCTATAAATAAATGTACTTTAAAATCTCTGACAAGAGAACCTACTAACCAGACCACTAGGACTATCATATACCAAAGGGAGAGAAACTATGAAATATCTAAACTGGGCAGACTAACCCTTTTAGATCATTAGCTGGAAGCAAGAGAGGAACTAATTAAGAATCTGTAAAAGAAGAAAGTTCAAATGTGGAGTACTGGCACTGATGTAAACTTTATAAGAGTATAGTGGTTTAAGACAGTGTTGTATATGAGACAATTTTGAACAATTTTCAAATTAAAATTACACAAAATTTTACTAAGACAATCTATTTTAATTTTTCCATAAATGAATCCAGCACCTAAAAAAATATATAATTATATAATTTTTTAAATTACTTTATTGATTATTTAAACATGGAACATAGGCTTGGATGATTTTGAACAATTTTAGATATTGGATATTAGACATAGTATAGACATGTCATGTACAACACTAGTTTAGAAAGTAACCCCAACTGCAAGTGGAAGCTTTAGCAAATGCAAAAATTAGGGAACTGTGAGGGGACACTTGAAGAACAGTTAACCCAGTGATCGACAACCACATGATAAACATATAATAACGTCATTTGTTTACCAGAATTAAAACAAACTGGCCTAAATATACCCTAACCTAACTCTAACCCAACCCTAACATAGGACGAGCACATGTCATTTGATGTTGTGATAATCACTGGGTTAACTCTTCTTCAATTTACCCCGAGGGTGAATTGTGAAACTAGAGATACTTAGGATTATAGGAGAAGGTAGTTCTTAGATATAGATAGTGATCATAGCCCTAGTCTTATACACTTTATTTAGAGAGGGTACTAGTATTATTAGGGAACTGTAACATAGCGGGGGTAGGGACCCGGGACGTCAAATGACGTACTTAATTGTACTAAAAATTCTACCTTAATTATAATAAAAGTGTTTTGAGAACAGATCTCGCCAAAAAAAAAAAAAAAAGTACTTTAAAAATGCATCGATATTGCAATTTTAATATAAACAATTGCTACCACTTTATTTATGAACAATTTTTCATTTATCGAGTTTGTTTATTTACTCTTAAGTTTATTACAGTAATTGAAGTAATATCAAATAACATTAGGGTCTTTTCTAGAAATTTTAGTTCCGAAAAGGATTTTCTTAATTAAAATTTGTTTGAATTTTCCTAGTAAGATGACCTCATATATTAATTAGCTAGGTTAGCTCCAGGTCATTTCGTAAATTTTAAATTTTTTCAAAGTTACGTATTACTCTGGAACATCGGGTAAGCCAAACTTGAATGCGGATCTGAAGCGAGTTAAAACCTGGACCTACTTGCTCCATTTAATTTACGACGTACAGTACATAAGAAATCATTGACACAATGTATGATTAAATAGTACCTTCAATTAATTCTTATTTCATCTCTAAATTAATAAAGTTACATATGTCTGAGCCTTATTCAAGAACTATATAGTAAAGATGGTGAATAATGCATGCCTAAATCAATAGAATATTATTTTGTAGATACTGTAATTATTGTAATCCTAACTCTTTAATTAAAAATTGCATAATACAAATAATAAATATGTATAATAAAAACATTGTGTTAAACAGTAAATGCAGCTATATTTCCCGTGAAATAAAATCAGGTTATTGCTCGAATTGATTAATAAGAGGCATCCGTTAAACAGTATTGCATTGTATAGAAAGATAATTCATTTATTAATAGTATGATTTTTGTATTATTAAGTTCCCTATAATAATACTTTTTAACGTAAATTATGAATGTTCACTAATAAAAAATATTAACAACATATAACAAAATAATAAAAGTAAATTCCAACAATATTGGCTAATATCATCTTCAATATATTATGATAGGCTACTTTTAAATTTAGACCAGAAAATTTATAAAATTTTGTCGTAAAGATCAAAAGTTAATTTATAATCATTTATATAAAGTGTTAAAGGATCAATTTATTGCATATTAAGATTTTTCACAACATAAATATAATAATAATCATATTAATTATAATTATACGTAGCTGACAGTAAAAATAAATTTATAAATTAAAAATTGGTTCAGGCTTGAAATTATTCTCAATCCACTGGAAATTCAAATTTGATTCTTGATTAATCCTCGTTTCGACAAAGAGGTAATTTCTATTATATGACTCGAACCTAGAGCAATCCTCAGGCCTCTTAAAAATTAGAGTCGGTTTTTATTAATCTTCGTTTCAGCAAATGGATATTCTCATTATGTGGTTTCTCACTTTATATACAAAGCTTTGGTACAATTTATTCATTCATTGGATTAACACAAATAAAATTAAGTTCAATAGGGATGCAATAGGCACCAATAGACATCCCTATTGCTCTCTATTTCTAGAAAGATATGAATAGTAAGTGATCTCATATTTCAGAGATTAATAGTGGCCTTTCGCTAAAATTTCCCAATTAGTTACTTTAAAGTTATAAACATCGGATTTCTTATTCCGATTATTGACTATTGATATCCTATTGACCTCTTTTGGAATTTAGCAGCAATAGGGATGTCTATTGGTGACCTATTGAACTTAATTTTAATTGCATAACTTGCGTATATTCAATAGTCCTAATCCAGTTTACAACTCTTTCTGATTGTTCTCTATTTACAAATACCTTATCCATTTTAGCATATGGGATCTTTGCTAGGAAAATCACCCTTCGGAATTTTCCGATCGGAAAAGCTTAGACCAGAATGCCGGTTCTTATTCATATGTAAACCATCTTTTTACTTTATTTATTCGACAGTATTTAATAAACTATCAAATAAATAAAGCAAGAGGTGATTTACATATGAATAAGAATTGAATTAGCCCGATCGGAAAATCCCGAAGGGTGATTTTCCTAGCAAAGATCCCATATGTAAAACCCTCACTATCGGCTATTGGTATTGAGAGTGTTTAAAATCCATATGCGGAATCTGCGGTGCGCAGATTGAAATTCATTCCGTAAGCAAAATTTTCTTGGAATATGCGAATTTTATTATACGTCAGCATCTTTTTTTTGAATGTATCAAGCTTTCCGTATATTAAAGCAAAATCGAATTTTAAATACTGATTGAGTCCTGTATTTGTTTGTTATTCCAACCAATATTAAAGGTGGGAAAAGTTTTTTTAATACCAGGAATCCCAAATAATGAAAGCATAGAATAATTGCGCTAGTACTTTATTATCTTTATATTCGATCTCACGATCAAGTTCCCCTAATTCAAAATTACCACTTGCATCATATATAGAATAAACGAAGCAATGACCATTGGATGCCAATAAAAAGGTTCCAAAGGGAAATAAAAGTGTTGATAATAGAAGGTACTGGAAGGAAAGATAAAAAAGCACAACGAGCAAATGTTGTCTTTCCCACCGATTATTTCTATTTTTAGCTATAAAATTGTAGGCTATTAGTCACATCGTATCACTAGGTTAGGGCTACACCTTTGGGTTACCTATTTGGCTTGTCATTTTAGTATTAGATTATATTTGTGTACGTACAATTTTACGAAATTGGATACAAAGGGTTATTATGTGCATTATGATGCAATATAACAAATAACCATGTGGCATCTAGAAGGAAGGGGCTACGTAATTAGTAATGCCTACGCCATTATATAAGGGTATAAATAACAATATTTAGGAAGTACGTACAGTAAGTACATACTACTAATAATTATTTTAAAAACAATGCCAAAATTGACTAAATTACCTAAAATTCGAATCATACGTGGTAAAAGAAAAAAAAGAAAATTCAAAAAAAATTCAAAACCATTACTCCCTGATTATTTAAATGATTCACCGTTAGACATACACAATAGTGTAGCAAAATGTCCAATTTTGATACCTACTTGTTGGAATGTAAACGATTGTTCACCAGGCCTGAAAATTGATGAAAATCCACTTTCGGTTAGATATAATGGTAATTATTAGAGCAATTGAATTAAAATGAAATAAATATACTGAAACCCAAAATTTTTCTTATTTATTGAAAAAAAGGAAACCGTATGTTTGCTGCCGTTAGAGCAGATTATTGCATTCCAAAAAAAACCGGAATTTATTATTTTGAGGTTGACATTATAGAGGGTGGAAATGACAAGTATGATTTTAATAAACATTTATGTGTATGATACGTAAGAGTATAAAGTTTTTATGTAAAGTTCTTGCTTTTTTTTTTAATAGTGTAATATCGGTTGGTGTTTCAACTTCATATACAAATCTTGATAGGCTAGCAGGTTTGTATTATTTAGAGACTTTCTTTATAAACACATTTCTTTATCATTTACTTTAAATTTGTTTATTAGGATGGGATCCGGGCTCGATAGGTTATCATGGTGATAATGGCTGGAAATATCTTGAATATGGGCAAGGAATTAAATACGGACCTACTTTTACGACAGGAGATACGATCGGTTGTTGCATAAATTTTTATTCCAATGAAGTGTTTTTTACTAAAAATGGTGTTAATTTAGGTAATTTGAATAATTTGAATGTTAATACAGGTTTTTTTTTTTAATACAATGACAAAATGTTCATGAATTTTTATAACAAAATTAGGAATCGTCTGTCCGTCAAATATAATTGATCAATTATATCCAGTTGTAGGGATGGAAAGTCCGAATTCTTGGGTAGAAGCGAATTTTGGAAACAAGCCCTTCAAATTTGATATCAAACTATACTCTACGGTATGTCTTTTTAAAACTGCTTTTATACAAATCAAATATTAAATTAATATGTATTTTTTTGTTCGACAAGGTAGACGTTTAAATCGCAGGACGATTTCTTAATATTGTAAAATAAAATTTATTAATTAATCAACTATATACTATGAAATACACCTATGTTGTTTTAGCATATATTATGTGTTTTATGTATTTTTAAAATTATTTATTTATTTTATATATCGTAAACTTTCTTCAAATACAAGTACAATTTCTATAAAAATTTCTCCAAATGCGAGACATTATATATATATATATATTTATGCAATATGTTTTTCCTAAGTATTTATATTAAATTTTAAAATTTTTTTAAATGTTGCATTTAAAAAATCAATTATAAAATTTTTTAGTCTAAATTTCACAGATTTGAAGTTTAGCAAGGTTTTTAAAACGTACTTAGAGCAAACATATTAACTCATTAGCAAGTAATACAATATATGGTTAATAATTTTATAAGCCTGTAAACTGATCAATCTCTATTTGTGAATTGCCACCTTTTAGCAGATTTCAAATACCATTAAAATGACTTTTTTTTATTCTTGATCGTGCCTACGCCTTTATAATAACAGATTCCAACATTATATTGTTCATTTGAATTGGCACTTTTAGCCGATTTCAAATACCTCTTTATAATCCTTTGCCGTGTTCATGCCTTTGTAAAAACATATTCAAACATTATACTGTCCATTTGGATTACCACCTTCAGCAAATTTCAAATACCACCCAAATGCCTTTTTTTTATCTTTAGTTTTGCTTATGTCTCGTCATGACAGTATCAAACGTTAAATAACCCATTTATATTGCCACCCTCGGTAGATCTCAAATACAACACAAAATGCCTTTTTTACCTTTTTTATATCCTTGGCTATGCCTATGCCTTCATCATAACAGAATCCAACGTTAAATTGTCCATCTAATTTGCTGATTTCAAATACAATTCAAATGCTTTATTTTCATCCTTAGGTGTGCCTATACCATTTCCATAGCAAATTTCAACGTTGAATTGCTACCTTAAGCAGATTTTAAATACTTTTTTGCATCCTTGGATATGCCTATACCCTTTTCGTAGCAAAATTCAAGATTTAATTGTCCTTGAGAATTGCCACCTTCAGAAGATTTTAAATGCCACTCAAATGTTTTCTTTATCCTTGGTTGTGCCTATGCCTTTTTCATAACAGACCCAAAATTATATAGTCTATTTGAACTGCCATCTTTTGCAGATTTTAAATATTCAAATGCCTCTTTTCATCCTTAAATATGCCTATCCCATATTGGTAGCAGATTCTGACATTAAATTGTCCATTCGAATTGCAACCTTCTACTGATTTCAAATACAATTCAGATGCTTTTTTTCATCCTCAGTTGTGTCTATACCATTTTCATAGATATATTGTCCATCAATATTTTCATATTCTGCACATTTCAAATACAACTCAAATTCAATCCTTTTATCCACGATAACTTTAAATTAAGAAAATATGCCAATTGTTACATATTATAATAATTAAAGTTTAGAAAGTATAAATTTTTTCGTACGTACGTGCGTACATAACTGAAATTGAATTTGCCTATTCATGTTTGTGATTCGAATTATAAAAGAAAGATTATTACAAAAACACATGTATTTGTATAATATTTAAGTTAAAGGTTAATGAGTGAGTAAGGGCTTTATTGTAAATAATGACTCCAATTATATGTAAACTGTATTTCTGGCACATTTAATTAGTCGATTTAGACACTAATTTTTCTTTACTTTGCTTATAATTATTTTTTATTGCAAAAAAAAACTAAGTTGTGCCACATAAATAATGACATAAAAATTCTGTAAGTAGTACAGTTGTACGTTTAAATGATTTAAATGCCGGTAAAGAATTCCGTTTTTTTTTGATATTCAAAAACCAAAATGAAAAATATTTATAATAATCTGTTTCGTAATAAAAAATCAAAAATATCAGGCCCTTATGATCTTGGATACAATTATCAACATGGAATAGGAGTTGAAAAGGATAAGCATAAGACATACATTTACTACCAAAAATTTGCAGAGATGGGAAATGTTAACGGAATATATGAGCTTGCAAACTGTTATTTTTATGGAATAGGGGTTGGAAAGGATGAACATAAGGCATTAATTCATTATCAAAAATCTGCAGAGATGGGGAATGCTTCTGCAGTAAATAGAATTGGATATTGCTATCATAGTGAAGTATATAACCTTGGATATTGTTATAAATATGGAAAAAAGGACGAACATAAGGCATTAATTTATTATCAAAATCTGCAAAGATGGGAAATTCTGCTGCAATGAATGAGCTATAAAGATGGCATAGGAGTTGAAAAGATGAGCATAAGGCATTCATTTATTATCAAAATATGCAGAGATGGGGAATGCTACTGCAATAAATGATCTTGGATATTGCTATGAAAATAGCATAAGAGTTAGAAAAGATGAACATAAGGCATTCATTAATTATCAAAAATCTGCTGATATGAGAAATGCCAATGGAATTGCAGGTTGTTATCTAAATGGAATAGGAGTTGAAAAGGATGAACATAAGGGACTCATTCATTATCAAAAA